GGGGGGGGGGGGGGGGGGCAGGAAGAAGGGGAAGCCCTGCTCTGTCTCCTCTCGCTGAGGCAAAGCTGAGCCTCAGACCTGAATGATTTTGTTCCTAAAGCGGGGGAAGGGGGCGGGGGGGGTGATATTCTTAACCAGCAGAAGCTCAGAAACGAAGATTTGCGCCCCTGGAGGTGCCTCCCTCCCTCCCTCGCGATTGGACTCGATTCCGAGCCCACGCGCCCGCGCCACTGCGACAGCCTGAGCTCGAGCCACCGCCCCAAACGCATTTGCTCAGAATCGCCAGCCAGTTTCCTGGAAACAAAAAGCGCTGGCAGGTGGCTGCGCCCAAACGCGTTCCTGTTAGCTCCCTGCCCCCCCCCACCCCCACCCCCGTGGAATATTAAAGTTCTGCCTCCAGGCAGGACTCCGTTCCCACGGGCCTAGAGGCTGCGGAGCAGCCGTCTGTCATTTGCGGGTGATTGACTCCCTACGCGGCCCGAGTGTACATGTTTGCAGAGCAGTGTGGACCTGGGATGTCGTTGGGGTGATGGATGGCCCACGCGGTGGGGGAGGAGGGCCCAACGCCGGATCAGATTGGGAGTCCCATTGGGAGTCCCGGTGCCTCCGTTCCGCCCGCGCTCCGCCCGCCTTTCTCGGGGAGGCCCCTGGGGAGATTAGGGGCACGAGAAGCTGTACCCGGGCTGGGGGAGCCCCGCGATGCTGTTCCTCTTCGTGGCTGTTTATGTCTGACTGACTGGGTTCATCCTGCAGAATAAAGAGAGGAGGGACCGCTCCCCCAAAAGAAGGGAAACTCGGCCAGGCACACTGGCCCGGAGCTGTGGCCCGCGAGGGCGGGGCTCCTGCCCTGGTTTGCATCCCGGGCTCTGGGGGGAGGCAGGGGGTGTTCACCAGACCCATTCGCTGTGTTTGGGAAGCGCTCGGTCCTCACCATCCCCGATGCTGGTGATGGGCGAGTGAAGAATGCCTCGGCCGCTCCCGCCTCCCGGCTCCCGGCGCTGGGCCCACAGCGCTGGGCCCTGTGGGAAGGTCCCTGTGCGCATTAGGAGGCGCGTGAGGTCGGCTGCCCTCCTCGACCTTGGCCTCTTTGCAGGTGCAGAACATGTCCCAGTCCATAGAGGTGCTGGACCGGCGGACTCAGCGGGACCTGCAGTACGTGGAGAAGATGGAGACCCAGATGAAAGGCCTGGAGTCCAAGTTCAAGCAGGTGGAGGAGAGCCACAAGCAACACCTGGCCAGGCAGTTCAAGGTGCGTGTGTCCTCCTCCCAGGCAGGGTTTGCTGCCCTCGAGGCTCCCCTCTCCCTCTAGAGCTAGCGATTGGGGGGCGGGGCAGCCGAGCGAGGTTTGCTCTCTGCTGTCCTTGGAGACAGAGGCAGCTGCCTGCACGCGCCCTGAGAGGGAGGCCGGGCCGGGCCGCAGGTCCCAGCACCTCTAGCGTCAGAGGCCGGGGTCCCGAGTCCGAGCTCCGGCCCAGTGCCAGCTCCGCAGCTGCTGCGTGTCAGGCCCCTCGGCCGAGGACTGGCTTCCTGGGTCAGAGCCGTGTCCGGGCAGGGAGCACACAGGGCCATTTCCCCGCCTGACCTCAGTTAGCTGTGGCGCAGCCACTGTAGGGTCACAGGGGAGAGAGAGAGAGACACCAACATCTTTCTCACTTTGTGGTAAGTGTTCCTGCTCTCCGGGTGACTCTGGGCCGGAAGGCCGGAGTGTGACCTGAAATTATATATACATACGTATGAATATGTATATATACAGACACATAGATATTCCCACACCCAGAGCAAATGCAGCTTCAGAACTCCTGAATTGAGGAGTGCTATGCACCTTAATTAAGGTAGACATGCATGCTAATTAGAACTCTGGCCCGGATGTAAATGAGCGGGTCGATAACACAGCCCGTGCGACTGGAAATTGCTGACGCGGTCGACCTGTCCCCTCCACGCCGGCGTCTCCCTTTGATGAGCTCTGCACGAAGCAGGAACGGACTCGCTTTTAAAAGCCACCCGTTCTCTAGATGAAATGGCGAGCCGATGACGTTACCGATCTATATCACATCATGCATAAGACGGCGCAGGCTGGAGGAGAATGAGCGGTCGCTCTGGTCCGAGGCAGGCGGGCATACCATCGTCCTCGCTTCTGCCGCGTCATCGCGAATTATCCGGGAAGAGATTTTGACCTGCCTGACCCTAAAGAGTTTGTGTCTCTCCGTCAAAGGCCAGCACTCCCTTCTCAGGGGCGCGAGGGGGGAGGGATAAGGCAGAGTCCTCTCAGGGGGCCGGGTCTCCCTCGGCCAGGGGCTGCTAGCTCCTCTCTGCTAGCACCACCCACACAGCCGTCTCCCCCAGGCCCCGAATCGGGGTGCTGTGGCGCTGGGGGAGACTAGCAGCCCTTGACCTCCACCGGCTTTAATTGCATTAAACGTGCCAGCGCAGGGCGGTGAGGGATTTATGTCGCTGGCAAGGCCGGCTGCTTGGACGAGCCCTAGCACTGAAGTGTGGTTTTTTTGAAGCGATTTGTCTGCGAATGGCAGTGTGTGTGAGGCAGGCTGGGGAGGTAGTTCTTCAACGGTATTTCGTTTTCTTGCTTGCAGGGCTAACTTAAAAGCGTTTTTTCAGAGCCGCAGTGACTGAAGAGGCATGTGCCCATGCACCCATGACCGAGGGCCAGACTGCTCTTTGCACCCTGCATTTTTACTCTCCTCCCCCGACACTTAGCGCCATTTCACTAAGGAATCCAACCACGACCCTCTCTTTTGCATGCGGCTGTAGATGCATTTCACAAACCCTTTGAACCCTTGTCAACGCATTTTTTTTGAAAAAGAAAAAAAAAAGGAAACTGTGTGTATGTGACCTAAAGCATGTAACCTTAAGATGTTGCATTCTACCTGACAATAAAGAGCTTTCCCAAAGATGCTGGTGTTCTGAAGACTGTTTCATACGCTCTCCTCACGCTGGGGGCCGGAGGATCAGCCAGCCTGTGAGAGGCGGGAGCGGCCAGGCCCAGGCAGGGTGTGACGAGTTTTTGCACGCATCGCACTGAACCTAGCTTATTTTAACCTTGCAGGCGATAAAAGCGAAAATGGATGAACTTAGGCCTTTGATACCCGTGTTGGAAGAGTACAAGGCCGATGCCAAATTGGTTTTGCAGTTTAAAGAGGAGGTCCAGAATCTGACGTCAGTGCTTAACGAGCTGCAAGAGGAAATTGGCGCCTATGACTACGATGAGCTGCAGAGCAGAGTGTCCAATCTTGAAGAGAGGCTCCGTGCGTGCATGCAAAAGCTAGGTAGGCCCAGCACCCTGCGGGGCGGGCGCGGGGCGGGGCGGGGC